CCCCCCCAAAAAAATCAAAATATTCTCCTTCCATCTTCATCACAGCCTTGGTGACTTAATCTGGAGTTTCACAGAATTACTCTTGGGATTCTACAGCAAAAGATCCTACTTTTTTTTGGTTGGGGCACTAGGATCTCAAAGTGAGAATAAACTGTAAGAAAAGCAAAGTCTTTTCGTCCCTTTCTCAAGAGCCTCCTTTTCTGCAAGTACAGCTGAGGTTTGTCATAAGAACTGGCTCACTCAAGATTTTCCTCAATTTGGAATATCAGCTTCATAAAATTAGGGTATAATTCTCCATAGATTAATTCTAATATTAATCTGTAATATTAGATTCTGTTTTAAGTAGTGTTTGGGTTATGAATGGTTTGTCTTTTTCAAGTCACCTGGAGCAGGGCATTCCTATCAATTGATTTTATCAATGCAAATGTCACTGCACTGCTGGGCAGAATAAATTAGTTTTCCATCAAGATCATCATTAGAACAAAGAATGTCTATTGTCATTATATATTAAAGTTCTTTTTTCTAAGAGAGGGTAGGCAATCTTTTGTATTTTTCAGGTCATTAACTCATGGGTAAGAAAAAGGAAATCAAGGACTAATTTCAAGAAGATAAGCATCATGAGATGGAAGTGTAAAATCTGATAAACATTTTCCTACAACAAAATGACCAAAAGGATTAAACAAATTAAAAAGACCATTAATACTTACACTAGGGAACGGTGGCCACCACATGTCATAAAATCTAAGGACTCACTTCATTCAGGGATCAAGTGAGGATATCTGAAACCACATAGGACTCCCCATTTCAAGACAGTGAAGTGATGTGATAGGAAGAAAATCTGGCAACTCCACCAATTTCCCCCAAAGAGGAGAGGCATAAGGAAAAGGCTCCCCACATGTTAAGTGTTTTCTGAGACCATGGAGGCAGAGCAAGTAAGCGGCCCTGTCTTGCCCTTCGCTGCCTTCTTCAGTCTTGGCTTCGGAAGAGCACCGTGGACATGTCTCAACGCACCCCCAAAATACAGTCTCCCTTTCCCAGGCTGCCTTCTGGTGCAGTCATTTATAAAACTAAAAAGAAAAAGTATACAAAGAGACAGTTTTCTGATTGTGAATGACCAAGATTCCTCCCCATTCTCTTAAGGCGCTTTACTAAATAATGAAATAGACAAACCTACATTCTACAAACCTACATTCTACCTCCAGGGTGAATTGTAAAA